GCTGTGTTTCTGACCAAGGGCCGGGGGTTTGTTACACAATGATAGCAGAAACCATTATGGTATGTCTTTACACTGAACAGTAGATCTTTCCTGAAAGGCTCTGGAATCAATATAACAGGGCAACACAGCAATTAATCCCTCATTTCTATTAGCTTCTGTTTCTTTCATTTCCAGTGCATGATGGAAAACAGAAGGGTCTCAACTCTGAAATCACAAACCCAGGAATAGAGGGAGTTAAGCATTCCTTGGGGAGGGAGGAACCCTGAGGCCCAGGACACAGCCTGGATATAAAGGCACAGAGCTATCCAGTTAGTGTCACTGTATAGGCCATTTCATGGAGCAAGGATCAGCTGAATCATTATGATGTATAGGTCCATGTTCAGACTGAAGGCTCTCCTCAGGCCTGCCTTTCTCCTCCTTGCTCCCTGTTTATACCAACTTTGTACCTACAATCACACAGATTTTTCAAATTCACTCTGCTCTTACTGTTTAATTTCTGGCATTAATAAAGTCTTATACGGAGAAATCACAACTTAAGTTCTCTTTTGTTTTAAGTGATAACACCAGATTTAAATAAGGAACACATTTAGGAAGCTGAGTATTTGAAAATAGGCTTCATCACTATTTTATCGAGTACAACAAACTTAATTAGATTCATGTGCAATGTATGTTACCTTGCTATAAACAGTTGAGCAGATGGCTGTCATTAATACTGCTTCTGCTCAGTTCAAACCACATCTTGACATCTTTTTTGTCAGAAACTAGTTTCAATATTTGTCAGTAAATTCAACTGCTCTCCCTAACACAATGTATAACATGACCTTATCATTATATAACAAAAGCAACAGCCTTAGGCCCACCTCTCCCCAGCAGGGTTCTTTGTGCAATCACCTCCCTTTTCTCTGTGGCTGATGCTCCCAGCAGCCCTGGATGCTAGATTAGTGGCATCTCTAGGCTGTGAAGAAAGGTGGGGATGACCAAACCAAGACAGTAAGGGTAAACTCGGGATTAGATGAAACAGGTACATGAGAGAGTACTTTCTGGAATAATGAAAATGTTCTGTTTCTTAATCTACAGTGGTTATATGATTGTATACATATGCAAAAATGTATCAACCCATAAATTTAATATTTGTACACTCACTATATGTAAATTACACCCCAACAACCCAATTATCTTGAAGGAAAAAAACTCCAGGGGCATTATTAAGTTAATGTAAGAAACATGACTATAAAAAGTATTATAAGTTACAGGAAAACTTATTACCTTGGATGTGGAATACTTTTAGCAGCAAGGCACAAAAGGCAGAATAAATATTTATGTCCATTCGCAATTCCATTCAATTCAACAAATTTTAGAGATAGGTATGTGGTAGGCACTTGGGATACAAGAGTAAGTAAAATAAAGGTCTTTCATTAAGAAACTTACATTCTGACAGAAGGTAGTGGGCAATTTTGGTGCTCCACTCAAACTTTCTGTGACCCCTTCTTCTGTTTGGTGTAATCCTTCCAAGCCTCATTTTGCTCCTGATTCTAACAGCCCACACTCCTAGAACTGCTTGAGCAGAGAACTAGAAGTGCCTCAGAATTGAGTCCCCTTACCTTCCCAATTGAAGGGTGCAACATTACCAAATCATAACTTCTTTATCTCATGTTGGGACAAACTTTAAGTAGGAATTACACTCCAGAGTTCTGTGGGACCTAGTTAAATCTTTCCTCCCTCTGAGATTGCACCCTCACTTGGATTCTTCCTCTTCCTTATTCTGATTCTCCCATAATTGTGCTTCAGCTTTTAAGGACCCAATTTTAGTACATGGCCTTCCTTAAAAATGGTAGCAATAATTTTTCTTATTCATCTTGCTTTTCCAGAATTTAGATACTCTCTATTAAGAAGTGGATTGTAGCTGGGAACAATGGTGCACACCTGCAATTCCATGCTGAGGCTCGAGGATTACAAGTTTGAGGCTAGCCTGGGAAATTTAGTGAGACCCTTCTCACTAAAAAAAAATTCTAAAAAATAAAATGGGGATGTAGCTCAGTGGTAGAGTGCCCCTGCATTCAATCCACAGTACCACTAAAAGAAATAGAAATAAAAGAAGTGGAATCTGTGTCCCCTACTCTGGAAGTTGGGTAGGACATCAGAAGGGACCCTGACTTCTGAGGCTGGGACAAACAAGGAATTTTAATTAGCTTTTCATCACTATGACCAAAATACCTGGCATAAACAACTTAAAGGGGGAAAGATTTATTTTGGCTTATGATTTCAGGGATTTCTGTTCATGGTCACTTGGCTTCATTGTTCTGGGCCTGAGGTGAAGCAGGACACCATAATATAAGGGTAGAAGAAAGATGCTCAGCTTATGGCAGCCAGGAAGAGAGAGGAGATGGGAGACAAGAAATAATCTTCCAGGGAAAACACCTAGTGACTATTTCCCCAACTAGGTCCCACCTACCAGTAGTCCATTCAACTATCAATGGATTAATCCACTTATGAGTCTTCATGATCCAGTCATTTCCCAAAAGCCCCACCTCTGAACATTGCTGCAATGGGGACCAAACCTTTAAAATATGAGTCTTTGGGGGATACTTCATATTCAAGTCTTGCTACACAGCCACCATCATACTGTGAGGAGGCATGTGAAAAGGAATCAAGGTACCTCAGATTCTGCTAAAATGTCCCAGCTGGCAGTGAGCACAAAATTTGAAACCTTGTGTTAACATCTCTCGGAAGTAGATTCCTCCATCCCATTCCTCCAGCTCTTGATTTAACCATTGAATCAGTGCCACATGAGTAGACATGAGCCTTACCCCCAGGGACTGTCCAAATTGGAGATAAGTGTGCAAAAGAAATGAGTGTTGTTGTTTTAAGTCACTAACTTTGGGAGTGGTTTGTTATGCCATGGTAGTTGCAAGAATGTTAAACCAAAGACATAGGTGAGATAGCAAATAGAAAAAAAAATGAACCAAATTTATATGCTGTACTCTATTTTAGAAGATTACTGATATGGTACAGAGAGAAAGAGCAGCAGGAGAAGAATTGGTTATACATTGGTCTGTGGGGGGCCAGCTGCTTTATGGACAAGGATGAAGTGAAAATTGAGCAGAATTGAAGGAGATGAAGGCCAAGGCAGAGAGAACAGAACAAAATGCCCTCATTCAGCAGAAACCCTGGAATGCTGAAGGCAAAGCTGAGGGGCTATTGTGGTTGCATGGAGTAAGCAAGAGACAGTAGGGTAGAGGGATAGAGAGGTAATAAAGGACCCACAGATTATAATAGGCCCTTGCCTACATGGTAAGGATTTTGACTGATATTCTGAGTGAGAACAGGGCTTGTGAAGAAAATTGTGTAGGATAGACATGTGATCAGGCTAACACCTTGAAAAGAAAAATTTCAGTAGCTTCTCTATTGAGAATCAACTGTAAGAGGTCTAATGTTAGAATCAAGGAAACAAGGTAGGAGGTGACAGGACTCAGTCAGGTAATAGAAGATTGTGGCTCAGAGCAGAGTGGCAGCAGAAATGGTGAGATGTGTTTGGATTCCAGATCATTCAGACATCATGACAGAGTTTGCTTAAGGATTGGATGTGGGCCAGGAGAGAAACAGAGGAGCCAAGGGTGACTGCAGGGTGTTTTGCCTAAGCAATTGGCAGGACAGGCTCCACTGCCATAAACGCAGGATGGAAAGACTGTGGGTGGAACAGTCCTATGATAGGGTTAGGGACAGAGACCGGGAGTTCTTCAGCCCCACTCCGGCCTTCCGTGGAAAGTGGGAAAGCCCTGGGGAAACCTCAGAGCACTCTCAGGTTGGGTAGGAGGAAGAGTGCCCAGGTAGACTGGATTGTCTGGGGAGGCTGAACCAAGTACTGTTCTATAGCCAAGAGGGCTAAGAGACTTGACATGCCAAGTAGGCATCTGGATATTGGGTCTGGAATTTGGGGGAAAGTGTGGGCTGGAAATGCACCTTTGTGAGCCAGTACAAGGCATTTAAAGCCCTGACCATGGGTGGGCTTACCGAGGGAAGTCAGAGTGGGTTCAGAGGGGTGTGTGGCCCAAGCGTGCAGCCCTGGGCTACTCAGAGATCGGAGAGGAGAAGAGGCTCTGGCAGCAGGGTGGGAGGGAACCCAAGAGTGTCTCAAGGAGTCCTACAGCCTGAGGAAGGACCCCCTCAGGGTCAAGCAGAGGAGAGCGGCCTTCTCTGCAGGGTGCTACAGCTGGTCAAGGAGGATGGAACTATAGCACACTCCCCGGGTCTGGCTATGAGATCACGGAGACCTAAACAAGAGAGGTCCGGGTGGAGGAGGTTTGGGGCTAGAAGGCCATGGGAAGGGGGCAGTCCGTACAGTGAGTCTAGACTACACTTGGGAAGGGGCTGCATGCTGGCCGTACAGAGTAGAAAGCTCCATAATTGGAAGGTGCTGGGAGTCAAGGTGAATTGGTGGGTTTGTTCAGAGGTGAGAGATTTGAACCATGAGCTTCCCACAGGGGCTGCAGGGAGTGGATGGGCTGAGTCATGCAGGACAGAAGAGCCCAGCTGGGAAGTGGGGGGCTTTGATAGGGAGAGCTGGGCCTTCCCCTTGAGTCCAGATCCAGGGGACCCTTCTCCTCCAGATTCTCGCTGCCCTGGACAGGGATGCGTCTTGTCGGAAGCACAAGTTGCGCCAGAAGCTGGAGCAGATCATCAGCCTCATGTCCAGCAACGGCTGAGGGTGGTGGAATTGGTGGGAGGGGGCTTCTCAGTCCTGAGCCAAGCTGTCCACAGCCCCCATCAAGGGGTGTGGCTGGCTCCAGCCTGAGTATCTGGGGCAGAGCCCCAGATCAGGTGTTGTGGGGAAGATCATTGAGCCAAGATGCCCCCAGCACACCTGGGCCCCCTTCATTAGTGCCTTGCTTTGGGC